GTTCATGGATTTTTTTAGTAACTGCCAGAGGGAGGTGTAAGAGTAAACTCTCATCAGAAATAGGAGGTCTAAATAGGGCCTGACACTGTATGAGAAGACAGACATGTAGCTTAAAAGGAAATGTGGTTCTAATTCCCCCCCAGACTAATATTCCAAACCATACAAACCTGTATGCCATTTCCTGAGTCCGTTATCATGTTATTCTATAATCGTTTAATAATATTAGTTACATTTGATTGTATGCTTCATGATACCACCTGGTTGACATACTAGATAGAATTTAGGAGTACAAATAAGATTTAGAAATATTTGTTCGGTTTGTATTTAACTTTATAAGTGCAAACCTATGAATTTAGTGAGCATGAGAAAATTGCATATGAAACAACTACAAGTTTTAATGTATACCTAATGAGTCAAGTGTATTTTACCACCTATAAACACATGAAAGTAATTTTTCCAAAGTATTCCAAAGTATTGAAAAAATTAAAACTAGAGTGATCTGTTAAATTTGAGATAGCAAAAAAGACTGCCCCAATTTAATGATTGGCACCTGAGTCCTTAAGCAATGAATTTATAGATTTAGAAAAAAATTGAAGAACATAGCTTGGCAGGTAAAAATTAAAGACAGAATTGATGGTCATACCCATGTAGTGATGAGTTGGATGTTATAAAAGAAAACAAAAATCTCTCGCTAAGCTGATTCAGAGAGCAAGAAAGCTGTTTCGCTGAGGTCGATTTAAATGCAGTGCAACACAGCATGTCTTAAAATGGAGGGCTACTGCGTTAGCGGAGTGTGGCACTCATCTTTCATTTAGAAGACGTTCGGCAGTGATCACGAGCCGCAGAAGAACATTGCTATGTTCAGCTTTCAGAGTGCCACTTGATTTAAGGGGCATGCTTAGAACGATCATCACTAGATGAAAGTGATGTGGGAGGACAGAATTTTTAACTCAATCCTCAAACCAGAAATATACTCAGCCAAAGATGGAGCATTTATAAAATAGAAGAGAGTATTTATACATGTTAGGATATCATACATGTTTTACTTTATCCTAGCAATGTTTGGTATTGTGCAATAAAAATTTTCAAATATGTTTTGAACATAGTTTTTTC